AAAAAAAACAACAAGAAATAAATATTTCTAATCAATTGAATTAAGATTTAGATGTTTAATCCTTTTTCTTTTCTTTTGCAAGAGAAGCAAGTGAAACTTTTGGAATAGAGAATCCACAAGCAATCATTGAAAGAATATATCCAATAGCAGGATAAGCAACAAATAAAATGAAATTATACCCAGAGACATTAATAGAATTTAATATGTAAACTCTATTTTTGCTTAAAGAAACAGTGACAAACATACAAACAATCATCATAGAAAAACCAATTCCATTTGCAGCTACATAATAATTGATTCCATGTTTTTGTTTACTAAAGAAATTATTACAAAGTGGGACTGCAAAATAACTACCAATAATATAAATAATCCACATAATTGGAATAAATTTCATTGAAATGAAGAATGAAAGAGAGAATTTTTGGATTAGAATATAAAAAGTAAGTCCAAAAAGAGCTGGAACCATTGAAATTGTTGAGAAATATTCGTCTTTAATAAATGGACCAATCCATTTAGCGTAATGAGTATATCCCATTATAACAATTGGGAATACTAAGAATGGAAGTAAAGTAAGATCCATAAATGCAATAGAAATAATACCACAAATAATGAAAATTATAACTGAAACAAAATATTCTTGAATATATGAACTTGGGAATGTATCAATAAATAATGAAGAAATAGCAAATCCACCAAAAATAATAGCAGCACCTATACAATAATCAACGACCTCAACTTTTTCTATTTGGACTTCATGAGGGAGAGTTTTTAAAATTTCTGAAATTAATAATGCACTTTCAATACTAACATAATTACTATCAAGAGAATATAATGGTCCATAAACACTATTACATTTCATAATATATTGCATGGTACTCTTTTGAATTGGCACATCAAGTTTTTTCATAATGAGATATGCATATTCAGTACCAACACATGATGAATTTACTTGTCTTAATGAATCATCAAATGTTCCATCAAGAAGTTGAAGTTTATTTAAAAATTCTTTTAATTTATTAATTGCATTATTAACTGCTTCTTTATATTGTTCAACATTTTTAGCATCTTCAAGAAGGCTTGCAGCAAAATAAAGAATTTCCATATCACTATATCTTTCTTTACTATCAAAAATAATTCCAGTTTCATTATTTTGCATAGTCAATACAAATTTAATTGTATTTAAATACTGTTCAGTTTGCTTATATTTTTCAAATTCATTATTTGCTTTTAAAATTTCATGTGCATAATAAGTAGCTAAAATACTTTGTGGTTTTTGCTTTTCAATAATCTCTTTTTCTTCATCATTAGAACTATCATCTTGTCCAAATTCATCAACTTCAGGTTCTAATTCTTCAATAATCTTTTCAAGATCTTCTATAAATCCATATCCATCATATAATTTCATAACATCTTCTTTTGATATATTTTTTCCAAGTTGACTAAGATAATACATATTTTGAATACCATTCTTAACAATATCAGCATCATAATCTTCTTCTTTTACACTTTCACTGGTTTCCATATGAAGGTTCTTTTTAATAGAATCAACATAATATTTTTCTTGAAGTCCTTCTACATTTCTTTCAAATAATGAAAGATATTGACTAAGATTTGTTACAGGATTGTTTGTGTTTGAAATAATTGGAACTAACACAATTGAAATGGCTGCTAATACAACAAAAATAATACTATACATTTTATGTGTTGTACTTGGTGTTACAAATGAAAATTGAACACCTTTTTTGTTAATTCTCTTAGGCTTAACGTCTTGAACTTTTTGGTCTGTTCCTTCTACCTTTGGCATTAACTGAGAAATTCTAAGTTCTTCATCTTTCATAATTTTGAGATGTGTCTCATGAAAAATAAATAAATGTTTTTTAATTAATTTATCATTTTTTCTAATTTTTGCTTTTTTTTTAATAGAGTGGTGAGTAATTTTTTGGTCATTTCTTCAGATTCATAAAAATTGGTTACACTACCACCAGACTAATGGTACTAGTGTTAAAATGGAGTAATACTTGATTAGGTTAGTGACTCAATAAATAAGTAATAATAAGGTTTAAAAAAAAAAAACAAAAATAAAATAACAAAAAATAACAAAGAAAAAAGTAACAATCTAAACGTCAAGTTGAGTAGAAAGAAAAAGATGAAGAACTAATAAACGTTAAAAGGAATAAAAAGAAATGGATAGATTAGGAGATGTTATGGGTAAAGCAGTTAGTGTAGTTAATGCAGTATCAGGAAGTGATACTGAAGAAACAGAATATGCAAATTCTCATATAAAAGAAATAGAAGAAATGGAATCATATATAAAGAAACATCGAAGTATTGCAAATAAGATATTAGATGCATTTAGTGTTCTTACAGAACAAATAGGTAATATGGCAGAATTACATAGAACTCGATTATCATTATTACAACCATTACAAAAAGAAGACCAAGCACTTTCAGTTAATTATTTACTTTTTATTCAAGGAAATATGCAACTTATAAGAGATGAATTAACAAAAGGATATGGAAAACAAATAGGATTTATTTCAAGTGAAATTGCAGAAGTTAAAACATTGTTTAATAAAAATACAAGAAAACCTGTTGATAGTGTTGAAACAATGACAACTATGTTATATCAATTAAAAAGGTTATTTGAAATTAGAAATAAAATAATGCAAAGACATCAATATCTTGCATTTCATTTATTAAATTGTAATTTAAATTCATTTAATGTTAATAATGGAAATATTTATACTGCTATGAATCAATTAAGTGATCTTGATAATGATTCAGAACAAATTCATTTACGTTCAGTATCTTATGTTGGAAGAACCCTTGGAGAAATTTTAGATGCTGAAAGAAGAAAACATTCTGAATTACCAAGAGTAATAGAAGATATTATTAATCTCTTAGAAAATCAATATTATGAAAAAGAAGGTATTTTCAGAACAGCTGCTTCACAAAAACAAGTTAATGAATTGTTTCATAGATTAAGTGTATCAGATATTTCTTCTTTTCCTTGGGAAACACTTGCAAGTACTTTAAAACGATTTGTTAGAGAATTACCTGGAATGTTATTTTGTAATTCATTAGCAAAAGATGTTTTATCTAAATATCAAGAATCAGAAATAAGAGAAACAAGAATTCATAATTTAACATCATTATTCTATGCACAGAAATGGGTACCAGAAGAAAAAATTGTTTTATTTAAAGCAATTGTTAAATTATGTCATAAAATAATGGTTCATTCATCAAAAAATTTAATGAATGAAAAGAATTTATCTGTTTGTTGGACACCAACTATGTTTTCTGTTAATAATGATGAGTTATCAAAATATCTTGAGATGATGTCTTTTATTATTACTGAAGCAGATTTTATTTTTGACGACACTAAAAAATCTATGGGACTAATTGGTAATACTGAGGTTCGTGGTAAACAATTAGGCTCTACTAAAATTGATCATTCAAGTGTTTTAGAATCAGACCATGTCCAACCAAAAATGATTCCTAAAGTTCCATTAGTTTCTTTAATTGACTCAACTCCAGATTTTTCTAATTCCTCAAGTCAATCAAAATTTATTATGGGTACAAGTCCTTCTCAAGGTGGTATGTCTCAACAAACAAAATTCACTCTTGGAAATTATCATCCTCCTAAAGATACACAAAGTCCTCGTACTCATCAACGAGATCCAACAACTCGTTATCCTATGGTTACTCAACAAAGACCAACAACAATGGCTGTTCCATCAACTCCACTACCTAAAGTTCCACCAAGACAGAAGTTTTTACAACAACGACAAGAAACACATAACAATTCAACTTTTTTGTTGGATGATGACTAATTGCATAATAAACAAAAAAAAATAATAATAACTTTTTTAATTTACTTTGTTAACACAATTTTTAGTATTTTTATTGTATGTTTAATGTTTTATAAAAAAAGGATCTTTCATTGCTTCTCTTGCTGATATTCTTTTTCCAGGATTATATTCAAACATTTTCATCAATAAATTATATCCATCTCCACCAATTGTTTTTAATTTCGTTAGAATTTCAATACGATTCTTTGGAAAATAATCAAATACCTTTTTATCTGTGAAATAATCTAAATCAGGATACTCTGATGGTTTTGGAGTTCCTAGAATATCAAAAATCTTATGCAATTGATCAATATCACTATCTCCTCTAAATATTGGTTCATGAAGAATCATTTCAGCAATCACAGCTCCCATCCCCCATATGTCTATTCCTGACCCATAAACATTATATTTCTGAATCAATTCTGGTGGTCTATACCACATTGTAACTACTTCCACTGTATATCTCTTTATTGGAATGCTAATAGAGCGTGCTAATCCAAAATCTGCTAATTTAACTACATCTCCACTTAATAAGACATTTGATGGTTTAATATCTCGATGAAGAATTCTATGTGAATGCATAAATGCTAGTGCATCTAACATCTGATATGAAGCATGTCTAATAAAGTCAATAGAAAGATCTTGAGGATTATTTTTAAGAAATTTATGAAGGTCAGTATTACAATATTCAAATATAAGATATAAATGTTTCTCTGAATTATAAACATCTAATAATCTACAACAATAATTAGCTAAACTCATTTTTCTTTTTTTTATATATATGAATTTAGTAACAAACTTAACAATATTAGGATGTGAAATATCTCTTAAGATTG